GTGGCATGGCTTATATTTACAGAATTAATTTTTTTAAGGTATAAATCCATTTTTTATCCTTATCACATCCCTACACTGCATTATTGCTCATATTTGCAAGGTGCATAGATAGCTTAAATTACTTTTTCAGGGGCACCCAAACATTAAAGGTAGATCTGAGACCAGAACTAAGATTTCTTAATTCCTCATCAGAAGGTTTTTCCTAGTGAATGGCTCTGCTTTGTTCCTGGTGATCAATCTTCCCTGGCCTTGGGAGTGCAAAGTACATGTTGGGCACAGGGAGGGCATCAGCAGATGTTTTCCTTTGGTTTCTGTGCAAATCAATGTGTTTGTACTCTTTGCTGCTGGAGGAAATCAGTGAGGTCTGCTGCTTCCTTGCCGAGCCGTGTCTTGAAAATGTACTTTTATCCCTCTTCACCTCGTTTCTCAGAGGGATCCCTTATAACGCAACTGCTCATTGTGTCCAGGTCCCGGCTCGTGCACATGGTCACAGGGTCCTGTGGGAGGAGGTGGTGCACTCGGAACCCGCACTAGAGCCTCCAGACGCAACGCTTCAGCCTCCAGCAACCCGGCACATAGCTCCTGGGCTCCACGGGCCCCGAGACAGAGGTGAGGAGCCGGGTTTCCCTGATGAGGAGGATGTAGGAGGGAACCCCATCTTGTTTCTTGGGAACCACTCTTTACAGACCATTCGTAGTTGTGGTGTCAATGTTTATCTAGGCTTCACATACAGACTGTCAATCCCAAGGCTGAACTCACGAGCAAAGTAAACAATTTGGCAACTTCTATGTATTCATACATTTCTGTTACCCCAGTGTATTGCCAAAAAAAGTTTTTGAGGTTTATTGGTATCATCATGCCACTTTATTTGTAAATATTTCAGTATGTATTTCCTCAAACATTCAGATGTATCACTGATACAACACTCATCTCCTCCACAGCTCACATTCCTATTTTGCCTGTGGTTCCAATAGTGTTCTTCCAGAGTCCAGTCCAAGACAACACTTTAGTTATCCAGCTTTCTGTCTATCTGGCAGGAACACTCAGAAGTGAGGTTGTGTCCTCAGGGACACAGCAGCAATTTGTCCTGTTATTGCTGATGGTAATTTTGGTGACTTGGTTGAGGTTATTTTTGCTGGGTTACTGTTTTTCTTTTTGTAATTAATAAGTAACTTGTGGGGAGATACTCTTGAGTCTGTGTAAGTAGCCTGGTCCTCATTACAGTATTATTGCTAAAATACTACTTTGAATAGTAATTGATGTTTCTTGACTGAATCAGTGATTAAAAAGCAAGTTACAAAATGATAACTTTCTGTTACTCCTTCTACGTTCATTTGTTTCTTATAATGGAGAGTGTTCCCTTCTCCCTATTTTAATTTTATTTGTCAGTATGGACTCAAAAATTCTATTCTTTCCCATGAATATGTTGTTACTACCATTATTTTGATGCTTAAATTGTCTCAGATTTGCCAGAGGAGGCCCCTTCAGTCTGGCTCCTACATCCGTTTGGCATTTCCCATCGTTGTTTGAGAACTTACTTCCTTACAGAACAACACATCCCAGTCCTCACTCAGACCTGCCCTGCATTTGTTATGGTTTTACATGTGTGGCTTATAGAAGTTTGTTCTTTAAAATTGGCTTTTTAATATTTCTGGAGAAGAAACATAGAAGCAGTTTCATTCATCAATATAATTCTTGTGTGATGTGCTGAGGCCTGCTGCTGGTTTTGTGCTGTGCTGTCTGGTATCTGGCAGCAGATACTGGCAGTTGTGTAGACATATGTGAAAATCACAGTAAGTAGAGGTTGCCAAGAGATTGGGACATAAAGGGCTCCTGTAACCAGCACAAAGATAGAATGTAGCTCTGGTCGGAGGAGAAAGTATGCAGCAGTCCCTTTAGGAAGCCATGCAGTTTGTGTGTTTTATGTGCAGCGTCAGGCTGAGAGGGACATCAAAGTGTGGATGTTTTATGGACAACCAGAGGTCTAGAGCCAGAGCCAACCTATCAGCATTTCCTAGTAATATCTGTGGCATGCATTTTGGCTTAAATACAGATAATTTTATAATGAATTACTGCTGACTCCTGCAAGCACAACATAAGGCTGTCCTCATTCATAGCTTCTTTCTCCTCCTCAGCTGTATCTGCTTCTCATAGTCCCACCCCTTCCCAGAAAGGAAGTCCTGGAGACCAGATGGCTGCGTCACTTCTAACAGCAGGGTTCCAGGTGAGTCGTGCTCCTTCTCACTGAAGCCCCATCGCTGTCCTTGGTCATGGTCATGGCCTATAGCCCGTGTGTGGACTGCCTGTAGCAGAGCTCACCCAAGAACTTGCCCAACATCCTTTTGAATAGAGGCAGATTGATATTTGACTTGTTATGTCTTCTTCCCAGCTGATCAGTACATTCCCAGCTCTTGACCCTGTCTAATGCTGGTGGGGCACTGGCACCTTGGGTTTGAGCTGTGGAACAATCCAGTCCTCAAATGGGAGTTTATTTTATTTCAGACTTTGGAGAAGATTGAAGACATGGCCGTGTCCCTGATTCGAGAGGAGTGGCTTCTTAATCCGTCACAGAAGGATCTGAAGGGAGATGACAAGCAAGAGAGTCACAGAAGCATGTTCTCCCTGGGTGAGTGGTGTTCTGGTTATTTTAATCATAGTTAAGGTTTTTTGTTGGTTCATTTGTCTGTTGGCTTGTATTTGATGTATACTTACATTGTGAGCTTTCTGAAAGGCAGTTGATTGTAAATTCAGGATTCAACATAAAAATACAATATTGAGACTTCTTGAGGTCTAAAGTGGAACCAGGACTGACTTAGCTTGCTCTTTTAGTCCTGTCTGAGTTCACTTTTTTCTTCTGCACCCAGTCCCCATAGGGTATTTACATAGATTTCTCTCACTTAGGCCTCTTGTGCTCCTTCCCTTTTATGACTGTTTGGGGATTTTTTTTCCATTTTTGTCCCACTCATTAGATTATCTAGTTGTTCCATAATCCTTCCCACTTCCTGGCTTCCACTTCTCCTCAGCTTTCCCTTCCCTGCTTTAGACCCCTTTCCAATAACTTGTCTTTTTCATGGCACTTCTTCCCCAGTTAGCCGGTGGTACTTGGGTTTGACTTGCTCCTGTCTCTTCATGTTTGAAAGCATTTTGGAGACAAATGTAAGCTTTGCAATTTGTGTAGCTGTTCCATATTTATTTTCCCTTTCTCCTATCTTTGATTCCTTTCCCCTAACAAAGAATAGGAAGTGACATTTGCTTGATGACTTATTACATTTTTGTTTCAGGTGGTGAAACCAGGAATGAGAACAAGGAATTAGCTTTAAAACAGGTAATATCTACCGGAGCCCAACTACATGGAGAGACAGCTGCGAAATGCAATGGTGATATTATCGGGGGTCTTGAGCGTGGAGAAGCCCAAGACCTTCTGGGCAGATTAGAGAGGCAGCGGGGGAATCCCACCCAGGAGAGACGACATAAATGTGATGAATGTGGAAAGAGCTTTGCTCAGAGCTCAGGCCTTGTTCGCCACTGGAGAATCCACACTGGGGAGAAACCCTATCAGTGTAATGTGTGTGGGAAAGCCTTCAGTTACAGGTCAGCCCTTCTTTCCCATCAGGATATCCACAACAAAGTAAAACGCTATCACTGTAAGGAGTGTGGCAAAGCCTTCAGTCAAAACACAGGCCTGATCCTGCACCAGAGAATCCACACTGGGGAAAAGCCATATCAGTGCAACCAGTGTGGGAAGGCATTCAGTCAGAGTGCGGGCCTCATTCTGCACCAGAGAATCCACAGTGGGGAGAGACCCTATGAATGTAATGAGTGTGGGAAAGCCTTCAGTCATAGCTCACATCTCATTGGACATCAGAGAATCCACACTGGGGAGAAGCCCTATGAGTGTGATGAGTGTGGGAAAACCTTCAGGCGGAGCTCACATCTTATTGGCCATCAGAGAAGCCACACTGGGGAAAAACCCTACAAATGCAATGAGTGTGGGAGGGCCTTTAGTCAGAAGTCAGGCCTTATTGAGCATCAGAGAATCCACACTGGAGAGAGACCCTATAAATGCACAGAATGTGGGAAAGCTTTCAATGGGAACACTGGCCTCATTCAGCATCTGAGAATTCATACAGGGGAGAAGCCCTATCAATGCAACGAGTGTGGGAAAGCTTTTATTCAGAGGTCCAGTCTCATTCGACATCAGAGAATCCACACTGCAGAAAAATCTGAGACCATAGGAGTTTAGGGGAAAACTTGAGTCATAGTTTGGGCATTATTCCACAGTAAAGGAACCACATGCTGGTGAGAGGTCTTTCAGTGTAGTAAAAAGGCAGAAAGTTTGTCATCATTGTGACCTGATGCAGGGTCGGAATCAATAGCGGGGGCAGTTAGAATAGCTCTTGAGTAGTTTTGGCCCAGTGCCTCAATGCAGGTGGATTAGCTTGACTGTTTTGGGAGGTGTCTGATGGCCCAGCGTACCCCTTAGAAACTTAAAGAGTGAGTTGCTTGTGGCTTGAGGCACCTAACACCAAACTTTGTCTTCTGTGTGAGTAGCTGTAGATTCAAGTCAGGCTGCTCCTGGCTCCTCTGCTTCCTCCCACCTCTGTGACCCCCTTTTTGGTTAGTCACTCAGAGGGGCATGTGTGTGCTCTTCTTCCTAGGAAGCTTGCTGTAGAGTGCGCAGCAGCCTCTGTGAGACTTAGATGTGCATTTAGCTTTCTAAGAATCTAGTTCTAGGTAAAATTTTTATAGACAGGTTTTCAAGCTTAGGTGTGCATTTTTTTGTAATGTTCTTGGTTAATCAGTGAAATTCATATTCCCACTCATACTCAGAATGCTATATTTTTAACAGTACTCCAGCATTTTTCTCCACATGTCACCTTCACTGACTCCACTCAGTTACTGAACACCAGAAGTGTCCTCCACCCCAAGCCCCAGGCCCTGAGTCAGGCAAGGAAGTGCTGCATTAGTGATGGTTGGGGGACTGTGCACAGGAAGGTGAGTGCAGACAGTCCAACTGCTCTTGAGCTTGGATGGTTGCCCCTTGTGGTGACATCTGGCTCTCCTTTCCACCTCCCCACTGCACGCTGTGGTAGACGGGTGCTTTACACCATTCTAGTTATGGTGTCACATGGGAGAAGGTGCACTCATCCCTCTAGCCCGTCTCAGTGCTGCTCTCACAGGTCCTGACTAGGGGAACCTTGTTACCACCCTGGACCCCCTTTGGTGGCCAGCACCTCACACGCCTCTTGCCATTAGCTTACATTTCACAGCTGTGATCTCTCAAGTACCTCGCTTCACAGTTGCTCGTTTTTCTTAATTTGGGTGCACACTCCATCTGTCTTCCAGCAAAGACCACAGTAAAGTCATCGTCACCAGGACATTTCATCTTGGAGGCTAACTTAAAGTAACATCAGAGTTCACACATCCACACGGGCTGTCTTTCAGTTGTGTGGTTGTAACTGTTTTAGTAGTGTTATCACTGCAATAAGCATTCCTTCAGGTATTCTCGTTAGATAAACCACATGGGAAAACTCTTTATTACTCTTGAGTCACATCTCGTTTTTTACTTTGATTACTGAGATGGCCTCAGAGTCACCATTTGATAATGTCATGCCTTTTTTAGTTTTTATCCTTGATCTGTATTTCTACTGTACTGTGGAACTTACCTTGTATCTCAGAAATTCTCTTCTCCTTTGGCTTGTGGGACACTTCTTGGCCATTTTTTTCCAATTTCTAGCTTTTCTCTATTTTTCTCCTGCCCACTGAACATATTCACTAGCTTTTCTGTTCTCACTCTAGTTTATCCATTTTGATTGTCAGTAACCATATTTCCCACTGTCTCCCAACACAACTTGATCTTTGAAAACAGAACTCATCACTCTTTGTCCCCCAAATACCATTTTCCTTTTCACATATATAGGCACCATTACTTAATTTCTTTATCCTGATTAGACTCACTATCCTTTGTTTTCTTTTTTTCTATTAATCCTCACCTAAGGATATTTTTCCATTGATTTTTATAGTGTGACAGGGAAGAGGAGAGACAGAGAGAGAAAAACATCAGTGTGAAGGAAACAGATCAATTGGTCGCCTTCCACATGAACCCCGAGGATTGAGCCTGCAACCTTTGACCGAAATCAAACCCAGCAGCCCTCAATCTGTGGGCTGATGCTCTATTTACTGATCCAAACCGGCTAGGGCTATGTTTCTTATCACAATCTTGTAGGTGTCTTGTTCTGGTCTCCATTCTACATGTCCAAAATCTTGCTAAGTTGTTCCAGTTCTAACTTTTATCCTGAGGCTGCACAATTACAGATGGACATTTATGGTGACAGTAATAAGTTCATCTACAGCATAAAATGTGTAAAACCTTCCATTTCTGACATTTTCTCATAGGAGTTTTTTCAGATCTGTATTATCTGGGGCCCAGTTTATTGCAATTCTTTCTTTCTAGTGTCCCTGCTCTTCAAGATCTGCATCTTGTAGGCATCCAAGACGATCTTTTTGAAACTCCATTTTCATTGTCTTATTTTCACTCAAGAACCCCCAGCACATAATTCTCATCAAAGCAGTGATGTTCCAAGTTCGCCATTA